TGCGTTGCCTCGTTCTGATTGGCTATTTCAAATGACGCAAATTCGATGAAATTTGTTATAATTTTCATACATGCGTCAAATATTTAAAATTTATTATAGGTTTTAAATAATTATTGCCAAAAGTAGTAATAATTTGACACCTGCAGTGTTAAAATATTCATTTTTCATATATGAAATGGATGAAAAAAATTGGAGAAGGAGAAAATTATTAATTTTATTCGCAAGTTGAATCAATAACTCTTCTTTTGAGGCTACTTCTTTACCTACCTACCTCTGTTGAGGGCTCCCTGCATTCCTCACATATGAAACTATAAAAACAGTATACATTAGTTTTTGTTTAAAAAAAAATCTATAGTATTTTGGTTGACTAATATTCCCTGATTTTAATATAGGTACAATGGAATTCTATGGTATAGTCACTTACTTTTCCATATCTCAATAAACCATTGAAAACCTAAGTAAGTACACTGTGAATAGTATGAATTTCATTGAATTCAAGTTTTCTTAAATCTGTACTCTTCCTGTTTTGGGTGATTGGGAAAACCTAAAACATAACCTACAAGAGTAGAGGTTCTCTATCCCACATTTCTCGCTTTCTCGCGTTCGACGCAAAGAAGTTAAATATTTTGAACTTTATTCCTACGAAATAATGCGTCAGTCAAAATAGCCAATCATAACGAGGCAACGCAAGACGCATGACGCAAAACGTTGTCATGAAAACCAAGCTTTAAAGTGATTCTGGTGGTGGAATCGGAATCTTCTCTTTATTGCCCAGAACAAACAGAACTACCAAAGGACCAAAGCCGTGAGCACTGAGCAGCCCTTTTCAGCCTACCTAACCGAGGTTTATTTCATCAATATTCTGTGCCTCCAGTAAGTCGACATTGACCTCTGGCCTGAGACCAGCTGGTCATGCCCTTGGACAAACTTTTTTTTCTTGAAAACAAAAATATCGATTTTCTATGAAACCCTGGAAGGGACACATAAAATTGAAAGAATAAAAATCTTCTAAATTCAGAGTTATAACTCGGAATTTTACATTAAAAAATTCCGAGATATGTCAGAATTTTAAAATTCCGAAGTTATAACTCAGAATTTTGAAGAGTTAATTTTTTTTATTTTACGTGTCCCTTCCAGGCCTTCGTAATTTTCTCAGGAATGATGAATTTTGGTGGTAATACAAATCAATTATGTTTGTTCAGGTAATCATATTTATTATCAAAATAATATAAAATATTGAAAAAATTAAAGGAGATCAAGGAGATCTTGGGTGTTAAACTCATTGTCTACTTTTGATTCTTCTTTAGCTCCATCAGTAACTTGCTTTTCTTCAAAAGAGTTCTCCTTAGAAACCTGAGATGCTTTAATACTGATTTCCATAGTCTGAGCTGTTTTTTGACGCTTGGGTAAAATGTGGTGTGGGGGAGAATCATCCAAAAATAAACTAAAATCTTGCTTGGAAGTGCTAGGAAGGTTATCTATTTCATGATTCTGTCTCACATTTGATTTGTAGTCATAATCATCATCTTCATCAGTATTATAATTTGGAGGTTCTTCATCAGTATTAGAATCAGAAACTTCTTTTTTCTCTATTGACATTTCCTTTTTAACATTAACTTCTGTACCCCTTTTTTCCTTTTTGACCTTTACTGGTGGATTATGGGTTGGTCTACCTCTTTTGAAAGCTTCAAGGGTTTGTGTCAAATGTTGTATTTGGCGCTTCTTCTCATTAAGCACAAGAACAAAGTTATTATATAATACTTCATCATCATCCTTTTTTCTTTTCACAAATTCTTGCAGTTTTTTTTGAAGCTCTTCTTTGCCTAGAAAAAGGCATTGAATTATAAATTAGTTTCCTAAGATTCCATCAGTATTATAATTACTTTGTTCCAGCTCATCTTGACTTCTTATGGCCAAATCATATTTCTCTTTATATTCATTCTTCTCTTCATGATATTGATCCAATAATTTTTCTACATAATGACAGTAATTCACCTAAAATGTATTCTTCAATCTTGTATACTTGTCTCAATGGAAACATACTTTTTCCAAGGAACAAAAAAAGAGCTTCATTTTAATATTATTCTCCAATGTATGGTGCATTATGAACTCTTTATCAGTAACCTTGAAAGTCATGTTCTCAGGTGTATCTGATAAATACTGTTTGATCCTGGAGTAGTATTCATCTGGATCCATTTTCAGCTGGCTTGCCAGTACGGACAATTCATCTTGGGAAACCTAAGACATTTGAGATAAAAAATAGGCACTTTTATTCAATATACTACTTGGAGCACAGACCTCTGCTCTCCATGCATTAGAGGGTTGAAACAGTATTAGTTCAAATTTGTTGATCTGAAATATTATACATATTTTGAACTCCCTCAACCCTATGTCTTTGATATGTTTGAAAACATTATCTTTCATAGTGTGTTAAAAATTATTGTTAAAATCACGGTCAGCTGGAAAAATCAGAAACCCAAATCTCAAAAGAGCAAGGTTAAAAACCTACAAACAGTACAAACTGTGCCACAGCCATCAGCGGTCACCACAGCCAAGCTAACTAACTAATGCCATTGCCGCCAGGGGCCAGGGCACGAACTCAATCTGACCTGAAATGAGGCAGGATGTTATACAACAAATCTTTCAACAAATTTTAATAATCCTTGTGGTAATAAACTTCCTCTTTCTGCTTCTGAAGTGATTTATCAAAAACAACTGAAAGCAAATACAGTTGGGGCAAATAGGGGCCGATAAAGGAAATGTTTTGCTAACTTGTTTCCGCACGAATTATTTGTTGTCTCTAGGTACGAAAGCGTAGAAGCGCCACATGATATATTTTTTTAATAATTGACAGATATAACTGTCAACTAGCCTAATAGACAGATACTAAGTCGTAAGTAGTATACTTGACAGATACTAAGTCGTAAGTAGCATACTTGACAGATACTAAGTGGTAAGTAGTATACTTGACAGATACTAAGTCGTAAGTAGCATACTTGACAGATACTAAGTGGTAAGTAGTATACTTGACAGATACTAAGTCGTAAGTAGCATACTTGACAGATACTAAGTGGTAAGTAGTATACTTGACAGATACTAAGTCGTAAGTAGCATACTTGACAGATACTAAGTGGTAAGTAGTATACTTGACAGATACTAAGTCGTAAGTAGCATATATGACAGATACTGGCTCAGAGCTAGTCGACTTATCAATGATGATTCAACTGTATAACATATCAATACAACAAATACTACATAAAAGCTTTTTATGACATTTTTTTTTCTAATTCTCAGTGTTCGACCTCGTAAAGCCTCATGAACGGCTGAACCGGCTCAACAACCTATAAATTTTTGAAATCAGAAAAGGAGGATTCTCAATTCATTCGAAAAATATGTATAGGGTGTTCCATTTAAAATAACGAAGTTGGTACCCATTTCTTATATCAGCACCTCGTACAGTGAAGATTTGGAGACTGGTTATAAGTGCTAAAATACAAAATAAAAAGATCAAAAAATACCACAATACGTATTTTGGCAACTAAGTTGCCATCCTCAGTAGACCTGTAAAGTAAAAATGATTAGCTGACTCGCATAGTGGCTGACTCCTTAGTATCTTTCGGATATTGCAGGTCGACCTCTGGACAATATCCGAAAGATAAATCGAAGGAGTTAGCTAATCATTTTTACTTTACAGGTTGGCAATTTAGTTGCTGAAATACGCGTATTCAGGTTTCTCTGAATATTATGGTATTTTTGGGTCTTTATATTCCACCTCGTACAATTTTCTGGATGTTGAGAACACACCCTACAACTTTTGTATTTGAAGTTTGTTTCTATCTTCAATGATAAACCCTGTAGAAGCTCTTTAAATATTCAGGGTGTTTCTTGAGTACGTGTAAAAAAATCAGGAGCATGTTGCTGGCGTCAAAATAAGAAGAGAAGTTCGTATAAACATATATGTCCGCAAGTTATTCATTATTGAGATACAGAGTGTCAAAGGAATCTTATTCCTGTTTTTTGGGAATAAATTTGGTATCTCACTCGAATTCACCAAAAACCGGAATGACAAATAATGAAACTTTGACACTCTGTATCTCAGAAACAAATAACTTGTGGTTTATAAAAACTTTTATTTTTATTTTGACGTCAGCAACATATGCTCCTGAATTTTGTACACGTACTTAAGAAACTCCCTGTGTACAGAAATGGCCGTGTACATGGTGCAGATTTTGATTTTGAAGTAAATTGTTGGGAATTGAGCAAATTGTTATTTAATATATTAATTTAAACATTGTCTTGCAAAAATTGGACGTCCTGATTCCGAATCCGAAGTGATTTTCAACCTGTATGATCTAAGTTCAACCTATCTTGTCTCCCTAATCCATTGTTGTTGGTTAGGGTTAGGGTTATGTCGGCATTGTATTCTTCTTCTTCCTAATCTTCTTTGTTTCTTGGCGATGGCGAGTTTCTTGGCCTATCTGTCAAGTATACTACTTACCACTTAGTATCTGTCAAGTATGCTACTTACGACTTTAGTATCTGTCAAGTATACTACTTACCACTTAGTATCTGTCAAGTATGCTACTTACGACTTAGTATCTGTCAAGTATACTACTTACCACTTAGTATCTGTCAAGTATGCTACTTACGACTTAGTATCTGTCAAGTATACTACTTACCACTTAGTATCTGTCAAGTATGCTACTTACGACTTAGTATCTGTCAAGTATACTACTTACCACTTAGTATCTGTCAAGTATGCTACTTACGACTTAGTATCTGTCAAGTATACTACTTACGACTTAGTATCTGTCTATTAGGCTAGTTGACAGTTATATCTGTCAATTATTAAAAAAATATATCATGTGGCGCTTCTACGCTTTCGTATCTAGGAGCCTAATTTCAGGTCAGATTGAATTCGTGCCAGGTGGGGCCAAGGATTTTCCTGATTTCCGATATTGAATAAATGTCAAAAAAATAAGAAGAGATGAAGAGAATGTGGTTAAGTTTTAAATATTCAAATGTTTAAAAAATTTCAAAGAAACTTTGCAATTTTATATGGTATGGACTTCCTGAAACATAACTGAATATAGTGAGTATATTTGTTTATAGTATAAGGAGACAACTATGCAGAGAGTCTAAATTTGAGGATCTTTATTTCAGCATTTGCGTTAAAAAACAAGTTTACTCCTAGACATGGACTCACTCAAACCAACTCTGGAAGAACTGAATTTCTGTATGCGTGATCCAGACTGCATAAGAAATGTTTGTATTCTGGCGCATGTTGATCATGGGAAAACAACAATCGCTGATTCACTCTTAGCCACCAATAGGTTGGTCAGTAAACGGTTGGCTGGTTTTCTCAGATACCTAGATGATAGACCTGATGAACAAGAGCGTGGTATAACAATGAAAAGTAGTGCTGTTTCTTTGTTGAATTTGGTACATGATGAAGAAGATAACAAAAATAAACGTATATTATTGAATTTGATAGATACTCCTGGCCATATAGACTTTTCTACAGAAGTAGGTGCAGCTTTGAGAGTGTCTGATGGAGCTATTATATTGGTGGACCTTGTGGAGGGTGTATGTGTTCAGACAAGGGAATCCATAAAGAATGCATTTGAAGAACATACTCAGATGATTCTGGTTCTGAACAAATTTGACAGACTCATAGTTGAATTGCAAAAAAATATAGATGAAATATTCCAGTGTATATTGAGAATTATAGAAGGCTGTAATGCAATTGTAGCTGAGCTTTATCAATATGAATTTACAGACACTGATGTTGATGTTGAAGATACAGGACTTCTATTCTGCCCAAATACAGGAAATGTGATTTTTGCTAGTGCTGTTGATGGCTGGGGTTTCACCACAAAACAAATGGCAGGTATGTTTGTGAATATAGTAAAGAATGAAACTGTAGAATCTTTGAATGAAAAAATGTGGAATTTCGACTGCTTTATTGACTCAAAGAAAGAAATAAAAACTGGAGCTATTGACAAAAAGAAAAATAATCTCTTTGTGCAATTATGCCTAAAGACCATAGTTCATATTTATGAAACATTTGTTATTAGAATGGAAAGAAATAAAACTTCTTCCATACTAGAAAAACTCAACATTACAAACATTACCAGAGACATGACACATAATGATCCAAAAGTTCAGGTTCGTGCAGTTTTACAAGCATGGAGACCATTAGCCTCAACAATTCTCCTACAATGCCTTAAAAAAATTCCATCTCCATCCAAAATGAAGAAAACAAAGGTGGAGTATTTGCTAAGAGTAAACAGATTCTGTGAAGATCAGTATTTGAATAAATGTGTTGAGAATATGCTTCCATTTTTTGAGAGTATTTCAACAGAATCTGCAACACCAACTATAGTCTATGTATCCAAAATGTTTTGTGTGAACAAAAAGAATCTTTCACAAAATAAACCAAAAATATTTGTACCTAAACCTAGGACTGAAATCAGTGAGAATCAGAAACTATCAGAGATTTGCATTAAAGAGAAGCCAGAAGAAGAAAACACAGATAATCCTGTTATAACTGTAGATGATGATATCAAAGTCATAGCATTAGCTAGAGTTTTCACAGGCATTCTCAGAGTTGGACAAGAAATTTTTGTCTTGACTGGTTCATATTTGCCAAATGAAAATAAAATATGTGAGAACCCTGAAGATTTTCTTAACAGCAATGGTAATCTACAAAAAACAACAATAAAAGAGCTATACATGCTATTTGGACGTGAATTATTATTGGTAGATGCTATTCCTGCTGGTAACTTCTGTGGAATTGGTGGCATAGAATCTCACATACTTCGTACAGCTACCTTGTCTACCATTCTTGATATTGTACCACTTGCTGAACACCCCCGTATAGATCCAGTAGTTCGCCATGCAGTAGAACCAGAAAACCTCAAAGATTTGCCAATTCTGCGACAAGGGTTGAAGTATCTCATGCATAGTGATTCTTGTGTAGAAGTTGTAATGCAAGAAACTGGAGAACTTGTACTGCTCACTGCTGGTGATGTTCATCTGGGAAAGTGTATAGAAGACTTGAAAACAAAATTTGCTAAGATAGACATCAATGTATCAAGTCCAATGGTCTCCCTGAGAGAAACTATAGTAGTAAACCAAAATGATGATTACAATTTTGTGAAGGATACTAGTAATTATGTTTCATTAGATTCAGAACATTTTTCAATGAGTGTAATAGCAAAACCTTTGCCTGATGCAATCAGAGAGGTAATCCAGAATAACTATGAATTTTTGAAAATGGTTGAGGAACATCAGCATAAGAGCTTCATTGATGTAGCTAAACAACAGTTTGGTAGGAACTCTGAAGAAAATATTGAAATAGAAAAGACTTTCATGAGAGATACCACAAAAAAAGCTTTGACTCACATTAAGGAACAGTTGGAATCCACATTTGCTTCTTCAGTACCTTGCTGGAAAGATTTGCAGAATAAATTGTGGAGTATTGGTAAATCTAGTAATTGCTTGAATGTACTGATAAACAATGCAAGTGATTATCCTCATAGTATTTTTATGGAACTAAGTAGCTGTGATAAAAGAGCATTATATGATCACTGTATCATAAAAGCTTTCAATACCTTATGCAAAGCTGGCCCACTATGTGAAGAACCCCTAACCAATTGTGCCTTTATAATCAACAAATTTGATATAACCAAGGATGTAAATCGAGAAGACCTTACTCCACAAACAACATCAGCTCTTGAGTCAAATATACGAGAAACACTGAAAAAATCCCTTGAAAAACAGAACCAGCGTCTGATGGAACCTATATATGTTACAGAAATTCAAGTCAACACAAGTATATTAGGAAAAGTGTACACAGTAGTGAACAAGAGGCATGGCAAAATAATTGAAGATGTATGTATGGATGAACAAGAAAAAATCTTCCTTGTCAAAGCTCAGATTCCAGTTATTGCAAGTGAGGGTTTTGCAAATGAGATTCGTAAGACCACTTCCGGCCAAGCTAACCCCACTCTGAGGTTCAGCCACTATGAGGTAATTGATGGGGACCCTTTTTACCAGCCAGTAGAGGACGACGATGAGGATGAAGAAGGTATTAATGTGGAGTCTGCACTGAGAGCAAATAAGTTGATGAAAGATGCAAGAAGAAGGAAAGGGCTACATGTGGATGATGAAGTAGTAATACATGCTGAGAAGCAAAGAACTAAAAAGAAATAAATATTATTTGTTATTCATCAAAGATATAGAAGCTAATTTGTGATTTCAATAAACTTGTTAAAATGTTCTAGATAGGTAGAAGGAAGGAAGGAGGAAAAAAATAAACAACATAGTGGGAGCTCCGCGCCAAGCGGGAGAGTGTAGTTTGTTTATGGTGGGCACAAATAGATCACCTCCTAGCGACGTGCGGGACGAACGTTGGAGCTGTTGGAGCAAAACAATAATATATTATAATTGGTAGGTAAATAGCCAATACCATTAATTGGCGCCGAAGTATGTATCAAGGAAAGGAGTATACGTTTTCAGAATATCTACTCATTTATAGTTATAGTTTGGTCTGTGTGCGTTTCACACATATAAAAATAAAAATGTAATCAAACTGTTGAGCAGAATGTACAAAAACGTTCAGCTCTTTTCAAAGTCTCAGAAGGCATTGTTTGAAGTCTCATATCCAACTAATATAGCCCCATCTAAAAAAAGTGGAAAAGTGTATGTTTTCCTGTGATAGATGCGGATGGAAGTTTGACATTGAGAAACATTTTACAGCTCACAAAAAAAAATTTTTCAATTTAGCTGCAAATAGTTCGGTAAAATCATCATCATCTGATTGCAGTGATCAATTCGAGAATCATTTAGAGAATTTGCATGAATTAACGTTGGTTAAGGAATATATCTTGAAATTCCATCTTATGAACAATTAATCAAATGGAAGAACGACATAGAACTGAAAGATAGAACTCATCTCGTCCAGATTAGAGATACTCAAAGAGCACTGGAAAGGGGAAAGTTGAAATACAGGGCAGCAATAAAATCAATTCAAATCGTCCTGCTTCCATTGAGGTGGCTAAGGATATTTTATACATTGTTTATGTATTAACATAATATGTTAGACATGACAAGGAACTATGCCACTTAACCAGAAATAAGAAGCAACGTCAAGCCTTAGCTGCTGAAATTGCCCAGGAAATACCCTTTAGTGACATTTTGTATTTTATGAATACCTATACAGGGTGTTCCCTAAAGACATGCTTATATTTGTGGGGGTGATTCTCTGACTCATTTTAAGAAAAAAACTTCATATGAACGTATATCATAAAAGCCTTAACTTTTGAGATACAGGGTAATGAAGGTTTGAATAATATTCAGTTTTTAGATGGTAACTAAGACAATATTGTATACATCCATATGAAATTTGGTACACGTCTTTTATGTATCAAGGTGCATTTTCTGATGTACGAAAATTTTTATTTTCTTTACCAGTGGCACCGTTACGGGAAAATTATTGTTTATACATCCATATTACTGGATAACCACTATGTAACATTTTGAAATTTGTATACCGATTCAGTCACATAGCAGACTGAATTTTGCCATCACGAAAAGCTATACAGGATGGACAAAAAAATAATCTATGCATATTTTCAACATTGACACGCTGTATCTCAGAAGTTAGGACGTTTAGACATATTTATGTTCATATGAAGTTTGATTCTTGAAATGGGTCGAAGAATCGACCCCTTGAATATTAGCATTTTATTAAGGAACACCCTGTATATATCCTAATTTTATTCTTCATGGCCTATCTCCAAATCATCATATCAGTATTCAAAGTGTCAGTTTTGTGATATCATTATCTTAGATTCAAAGACTTGATAATAATAATATATGTATAATCAGCCGCGCGTCACTAGGTGATGGGCACAGGTGATCTTTACCCGTGCTTGGCGGGGTTCTACCACCATGTTGTTTATTTTCTTCTCCTTTCTCCAAACGCTAGTTATTATATTCCTCCTGCATATTGTCAAAGAACCACATTTTATGTCAATGACCGTGAATATATTAAAAAACTAATAAAATGTTTTTCACTCACAACATTTTTTTAATCAATCCCATTCTACTTGTCATTGGAGAGGGTTGTGAAATTTGGACATATGATTCATGCAGCTGATCTGTACAAATTTAGGAATCAATGGCATAGGATTGTAGGACAATAATTTCATGAAATTAAGTTTTGAATTCTTTTTTTTTTGTTCTTTTTATTTCTTTTTATTTCATTTTATTAAAAGATACATTCTATCTTAAACTTATGCAACTGGATCATCACCCTTTGTGGTCCTAGTGTAAATAAGTTGTGCCCTGTGCTGTACAACTTGTTTGATTAATCCTTGAAATGAAAAAAAAAAAAAAAAAGTGGTCAATATATTGGAATGATAATATTTTCTCAAATAATGAGATGAAACAGAATCAGACTCATTAAATCAGTTAAAGTTTTGCTTTCACTGTAAATCAAGCAGAAAATATCATCATGAAGGTATCTATCAGGGTACACACATATCAAAATTCTCTTGGGTGATCAACTCCATTTCTGAACTTATAAAACATATCCTTTGATACTCATACCAAGTAGGTATATTGAATCTATTCAGGTTGAATAAGAGGGATATTTCATTCACATTCCCCCATTGAACCTGGTTAGAGTATTTAGGTGAAGGTGGTGCTAGGCAACTACTTCATTCTTTAACAGTAACTATTTTTGAATTCTTATTTCTTTCACTTCACCTACTTCTACAGTTTACAACATCCACTCCATTCATTTGAATGTTCCCATCATATCCTCCGTTATTCAAATGTATCAATTGTAAACAAATATCCAAGTTACCTTTAACCACCTTTACTAACTATGGAGCTGGTAAACCCAAGGGCAGGTAAGGGAGGTGTACCCGGAAATGATGTCAGGGTTAAACACAATGAAATGGGATTATCAGCTTTAACCATGATGGGTAATGTGAATGAAATATCTATAAAGTTTAATGATTACCACAATAATTGTAAGAGTTGTGTTTTATGCATGTCTCATACCTAATTACCTGAAGATACTGTACAAGAAGCAAAAATCTAAATTAAAGATTCCTACCTTTTTGTTGAAGTTCAATAAGAGCCCTCCTTGCCAGAGATCCACGAACCTTAAGACGCTCAGATACCACTGATGGGGTAATCAATTTGTAGGAGGGAACTTCTTTGTAGAGTTTCTCATAAGTTGATTTGTCAAAGAGCACCTGGTTGTTCAATTTGTCGCGCACTTTTCCTTTGGACCACTTCTAAAAAATGCAGGAAAAAATATGAAATCTGATAGTATGTAAATGTATATTTGGGCACCTTCTTTTTGGCTTTGCCACCGCCTGATCCTTCCTTCTTCTTTTGGGTTTTTTGAGGTTGCTTGGCAGAAGCTTTTGCATCCTTCTTGGGAGGCTAAAATAACGTCCAATCATAGAGTAATAGGAACACATTGTGGGATCGTATTATTAAACAACATTCGAACACTCAGACTCATTAAATCAGTTTGAACAACCACGAAGATCGTCTTAATTTATTTTTACATCACAGCTGCTGCACATGTTCACATGTGAATCATATTTTCAGTAATATCTCCCAAAATTCATAGGTGATTATAATCATCAGAATAGATAACATAGAGGATGACAAGAAGTAAGAAATACAATTTGAAATACGTTAAAGAAATAACGAGAAATAATATAAATTAATAAAAAAATAAGAAAACGAGCAACCTACCATTTTAGTTTCTATTGAAGAGAAACAGGAAACTCGATTGCGCTGCGGAAACTTGGTAGAAGTCACAAATGTCAATTACGTCAGTTGATAGATGTCGAGATAGAGATGGGTTTTCCAGAGCAATGACGGCTAAATATCTAGACTGTCTGACGAACCCGTCAAAATCGACTTTCCTGGTTTCGACAAGGCGAGTAATTCCATCTAGAGTATTCCATCCTATAAAATATTGTATCAGAGCGCAACGATTCTGACAATATCGACGTGACTTGACTTGCTACAGTAGAAGGCTTACAGATTCCTTGTATCATGCAGATCCAGTAGTCGCACTTACTATCGACACCTCGTTTTGTTTACTGCATCAATAATTTCATGCCATGCCCACCATAGGCTATTTTATCATGATTTCAAACGAGAGCCTAAAGTTTACGAAACTCTCGGGGTCTCGAGAGGAAGGAAAAACATCCTTGAAAGCCTGAATCACTAAACAAATGAGCACAGTGGCCTAACGCCATGCTATTAGAGGACCCAGAATGAAACTCCCTGGAAAAACTCAGCCTTCACAATTTTATTGCGAAAAATAATCATCAGAAAACATGGATCTCAACCATATATGTACTATTTCTATATATGGCTCATCGCCTATACGATATGTCAACAAAAATGGGACCAAAATGAGAGGTACTTTTTTAGTCTAAAAGGACGGAAAGTGAAGGATGGAAACAGCAATATTGGTTTGACAGGTTCCGTATTATTCCTTCCCTACGTCGGCATCAACGCCTATTCGTCGATAAAAGTGAAAAACTAAAATTTATCTCCGGTGTAGTGATTTTATTTTCATTTGAGTGCATGAAAGTTGTCTCTTTTCAATATAGTAAGTTTATAGTAAGTGTGTTGATTGATTGTCTTTATTACCCCAAGAATCATTATTGTTTAAAAGGTGGGGATATATACAACAAAGCATACATATAACATAATAAATCGAGACAATAATAATTGCACAATTATTGTTTTTCATAAAGAAAATTATAATAACATATAAAATGAAAATATTATAATCCATTAGAAGTAATCAGATTGTGAATGATTAATAGATATGGAATAAAAGTTTACTGAGCAGATATTCCTTCAATTTGATTTCAAAATTTTTTGCTTTTTCTATTTTTTTCAACTCATTAGGTAAGGAGTTATATAAAATTATTCCATAATGGAATATAGATTGTTTACCAAAGTTTGACTTATAATTACTTGCTATCAATAAATTAAATTGCCTTGTTTCATGGGCGTGAATCGTATTCATGAAAATTAAAATTTGATATTTTCAATTCCTTCCTGACAAAATGAATAAAACAACAAATTTAGAGTTTATATAATGAAACTAAATTCAGAAAGTCTTTAGGTTTGTATAGATTCACAGTTGATTCTAAATTAGGTAAATTAAAAAATGCACTTTGTTTTATTTTGTAATTTCATGAGTGGCTTCAAACGTGAAATATTTGTACTTCCCCAAATAGATATAAGATATTGTAAATTTGAATAAAAAAGACAGAAATAAATACTGTTTAGGTATCTAACAGGAATGACATTTCGAATTTTATATAAATAATACCAGCAATAGGAATCAATTTTTTCCTCAAATGTTATGTTACATTTGTATATTCAATGGATTTGTTATTTCTGATGAGTATTCCACATTTTGAATGACCTTTTCGAATTTTTAAAAATCACAATAATGGCCCGAAAATTGAGGAAAAAAATTTAAATTGTTGAAATTTGTTAAGTGGATATAACATTTTGTGAAACCACCCACTTTATTTGTTATTTTTCCATACAAACTTCGAGATTGACGAAATTTCGAATCATTTTCAGAGACAAAACAATTCATGAACATCAAATTTGCGTGAATAAACATATTCTCATGATACGGACTTTAACGATGACACTGTATATTGAATTTCTTTCTGAACCACACCTCGTATACATTATTTTTGATGTGATTAGTCAGAAATACAATTCCTGTTCGAGAATTACTCGGGTAGAATGATGACGTAACTGATGAATCACTATGGAGGTTAATCATGCATCCGATACCAGTGGCGACGCAGTATTGTATTAGATTTCATCGCGTGCAGTCGATCTGATTGATTTTAAAAAATAACTTATATTGTTTACACGTAGGAATCGAAATATATGGTGTCATTGAGTGATTATAGTGAAACGTTTGTGTGTGTGTGTGTGTGTGAGTGAGTTCTGGTGGAATTTTCCAGCAATAAAAAGACTGGGATGTTTTGTATTGTTGTTGTTCTTCTTCTTTTTAGATATAGTGAGTGATTTTTTTATAATTTTTTTTCTATTCATATACGGAGTGATTGAATAGAAATCAATAGAACAAGGTGCAAAATTATTTTCCATTTTGTGAAGACTGTAGGACAAATTATTTGCAAAAGGTCTTCGATCGCATCTCAATAGTCTGGAGGACACTGAAATTGTTTTAAAATCAATACATAATTCGCAATCGAATTTCCTATTGATTGAGAATATTGTATACTGGGTGTCCCATTTAAAGACATTGAACTTTTTTACGTAACTTGTGAACTCTATGTTAGATTGCCAAAATACTACTACTTTGTCCATTTACCTGACTTGATAGCTCCAATAATAACCAAGTTCGCAATAGTGCCGACTTATATTTGAAAACCCTGTAAAGAGCTTATAAAATTTCGTATAAAACGGTTAAACATGAAATTGAATAAAGTAAAATCCGATATCTACTATCAGTACTACCGACATTTTCTAAATTAATTCTGATTTCAATTTACCATTTTTTTAAATAAAAAATCTAATATACATGGTGAACTAACTTCGTGTGATGACTTTATGAGTAACTTTTTTTATTGGGAATTCTTTTTTTTCTGGATTTTCGGATTTTTCTGCTGAGCTGATTACAAAAAAGTATCAAAATTTACTTGAAGTTTGTACAGGTGAACAGTAATACGATAGTTTATGGAAATTTAAACCGATGATCAACATGTATCAGGAATTTTCAATAGTTATTTTCCTTCTACTAATAATGAATTCATGTGAAACTCCAAAATCTTTTTTGTTCGAAAGATTGATTTTTTGACTGTGATTTTCTGACAGAAAATGTCTAATTATTGATATCTAATTTGACAGTTATTGATTTGCAAAAATCATCAACTTCATTTTGCACTATTTCCAAAGTAAGAACAGATCATGAAATCCTAATTTGCACAAACTAAATAAACTGCTCATACAGTGTTTTTCATTAAGGAGAAAACTGTTGGCTATCTGATTCGTTCATTCAAGAAGAATATGTCGCATTTTAGCACCGGAATTTGAAAACAGTTTTCGTATACATTTCAGTTTCTTATTCCATGTTACCTAAAAATTCCGACCCCCAATTTATTTTTAAATCGAGATTAAATTCCAACTATGTTTTAGGTTGCAGAATTAACGTGTTATGAATTGACCATTTAGGCCCAACGGAAAAATGGCACAGAAAAGGAACCCAGACATAAAATCAGCAACCGGTGATAAGTTTCGTTAATTTAAGAAGATTATGTCGCATTTCAGCACCGGAATTTTATAACAGTTTTCATATACATTTCAGTTTCTTATTCCAAGTAACTTCTACAATTTCAACCCCCAATATATTTATGATTCGGGATTCGATACCAACTATGTTTTAGATTGAAGAATCAACGTGTTATGAATTGACCATTTAAGCCCAACGAAAAAATCGCACAAAAAAGGAATCCAGACATAAAATCAGCAACCGGTGATAAGTGTCACAGTGTTTTTCATTAAGGAGAAAACTGTTGGCAATCTGTTCCGTACATTTATGAAGAATATGTCGCATTTCAGCACCGGAATTTGAAAACAGGTCTTGAATACATTTCAGTTTCCACTTCCATGTAACTTCTCCAATTTCAACCCCCAATTTATTTATATTCGAGATTTAATACCAACTATGTTCTAGATATAAGAATCGACATTTTATGAATTGACGATTTGAGCACAACGGAAAAATCGCAAAGAGGAGGAACCCAGACATAAAATCAGCAACCGGTGATAAGTTTCACAGTGTTTTTCATTAAGGAGGAAACTGTTGGCTATCTGTTCCGTTCATTCAAGAAGAATATGTCGCATTTCAGCACCGCGTATACATTTCAGTTCCTTATTCCATGTAACTTCTACAATTTCAACCCCCAAGTTATCTATAATTTGGGATTAAATACCCACTAAGTTTTTGATTGAAGAATCAACGTGTTATGAATTGACCATTTGAGCCTAACGGAAAAATCGCACAGATGAGGAACCCAGATATAAAATCAGCAACCGGTTATGAGTTTTACAGTGTTTTTCATTAAGGAGAAAACTGTTGGCTATCTGTTTCGTTCTTTCAAGAAGAATATGTCGCATTTCAGCACCGGAATTTGAAAACAGTTTTCGTATACATTTCAGTTTCTCATTCCATGTAACTTCACAATTTCAATCCCCAATTTATTTTTAATTCGAGATTCAATGCCAACTATGTTTGAGGTTGAAGAATCAACGTGTTATTAATTGAGCATTCAAGACCAACGGAAGAAGCGCACAAAAGAGGAATCCAGACATAAGATCAGCAACCGATTAGGTATATACAGTGTTTTTTATTAAAGAGAAGACTGTTGACTATCTGATTCGTTCATTCAAGAAGAATATGTCGCATTTCAGCACCGGAATTTGGAAACAGTTTTCGTACACATTTCAGTTTCTCATTCCATTTTACTTCAAAATTTCGACCCCCAATTCATTTTTAAATCGAGATCAAATGCCAACGCTGTTTTAGGTTGAAGAATTAACGTGTTATGAATTGACCATTTAAGCCTCGATTTATGCCCAACGAAAAAATCGCACAGAAGAGGAATCCAGACATAAAATCAGCAACCGGTGATGAGTTTCCCATTCCTGTGTAGTATTCGATTCATATAGAATATTTTTTCAAAATTAATTATTTGTTATGGAAGGCGATATATCATAGAAAATGTTTCAGTAGTCACCTTTATGTCTCCATGGAGACACGACAGGTACCCTTACGAGGGGAGAGTATCAACCCT